TTCGGCGAGATGTACAAGTTTTGGACCACATTTTAACAATGGAAATCAAAACCCATTTTATATTGAACTTGCCCAGACCGAAAATTACTACGGCGAACGCCTGCGCAACCAGGCCTCCTAAAACCGTTGGAATTTACGGGGGGGGGGGTTCCTTTTATATATAACGATCATATTTCGAATTAACGTAACCCTCCCCCCCCCCGTAAATCCCAACGGTTTTAGGAGGCCTGGTTGCGCAGGCATTCGCCGTAGTAATTTTCGGTCTGGGCAAGTTCAATATAAAATGGGTTTTGATTTCCATTGTTAAAATATGGTCCAAAACTTGTACATCTCGCCGAAGCACCTCCGTATTTTCGAAGAACGGCATTTGTTGTACATGCAGGCGAATTTTTTTGGAGAATAAAGCGATTTGAGTGTGAGAATTTTCGATTCGAAGTGCCGTTCCGTCAGATCGACGATCGGAAATAGTTAGCTTTTATCATGTTTCATGTATACTAGTAACATCGAGAACAAAGTCTCGGAAAATATTAGTCCAACAAAGGAGGAATACAAGGAGAACACACGCCATCAAGTAGGCAAGTCAATTTCATTTTAAAATTTATATTTTATGACATATTTTAACTATAATATACATTAATATAATATACATTTATACTATATTAATCTATACTGACCCTTGCGAGATTGGGCCGCCTGTGATTGTATGAAACGAATTAAATTCGTCCAAGACGTTTTATACGTCACTATCAGACGGATACATAGAGGATATTACACGGCGACGCGAAGATATGACTTTTATTTTCGAGTGGTGAAAACAATATTTTATGAACGAGCGCAGCGAGTGAGTAAAATATTGTTTTTAACACATCTTCAAGCCGCCGTGTAATGTTCTATTTATTATATAGTCCCAAGGAAAAATTGTGAAATTTCACGCCCAAGAGCAAATTGGAAAAAGTCAGGTGATCCATATCTTCACTACCCTGGTTCCAGAAGTTTATTTTTATTATTTTCATTGCGAAGGGAGAGGAAAAATAAACCTCTGGTTGAAAGCAGCAATTGATTCATTGAGCCGCGCCAATCAGTTTGAATTAGGGTCAGATCCTGACTCTGTCTCCTGATTGGATGATTGTATTAAAGTTCTCTGATTGATTCAAATAAAACATCTATAACCAATCAGAGAGCTTTAATACAATCATCCAATTAGGAGACAGAGTCAGGATCTGACCCTAATTCAAACTGATTGGCGCGGTTCGATGAATCAATTGCCGCTTTCAACCAGAGGTTTATTTAAACCTCTGTAACCAGGGTAGATCTTCACTAGTGTAGATATGGAAAATATCTCACTGGGTATTTTTCAGTATCTCACTCTGTATACTATATATAATAAAACGTCTCATGCACGTGGCGCGTCTTCGTTTCATACGACGTCGTATCGTCGTGTCGAATTAAATGCATAAATTATGTTAAAGTCTGTTTCTAGTGTCTTTCTGATCCCGTGATTTTTATTTCTGGGTAATCCATGATCGCTATAGTCATGAAATGAATTCGCCTGAATTAAATTCGTCGTTTGATACGAAACTATTTTAATGTCGATCAATTGACGAATTTGATAACGAATTTAAATTCGTCTGAATTAAATTTGACGTATGAAACAGGCCTTACACAGATTTTATCAGTATTTTCTCCTTATTTAAAGTAATTTCATTTTTTAAATTTGTATACTATACCTATAAATTAAGATAAACAATAATTATAATAGTTGAATTGTGTTTTAAAAAATATTCAAAGTTGCATTACTAGTACTATAACCTATACAGTTAGGTTTGCCAATTTAGAATTATGAAATAACCTTGATACAATCACCTCTGTCAATAATTATTATGGATTTTCACGTTTGTTGTATTTTTTCTCGTGTTTTTCCTTCCTAACCTTACGCTTCGCTTCTACGTTTCTCTGATCTTTCGTCTTTGTGATTTTTAACGTTCTGTCTGTCGTATCTTCCTGTAACAATGCTTCAGAATCTCTGCCAGAAGAAAAATAATAATAAATTCCTAAAGAGTCGTCCAAGTTTTCCCTCTGCCATTTCCACTGTGTTGCAGCAAATAATGAAGCGATGACAAATGATCCAGTGGCCGCAGCTCGAAATGTCCATTGAGGTCCAAGGGTGTGGATGAGATGTCCCCCTAATATAGATCCAGTTCCTAAACCTAGTCCCCAGTAAACACTTTGAAGGATTCCTACATGAGAGGAAAACAAGTATGAGTACACATTGGGTTTCTCACTAGGAATGTTCGATATACCGAAAATATCGGTATTGAAACCAATATCGGTTCGAGTTTTTCAGTCATGGCGATATACCGAAATTTCCGATATATATATGAATTTTTCGTTATACCGTATCAAATTTACACACCATGCATATGGCGAAATTATCAACTTTTGTTTCACTCAAATGCAAAGTAAGAAAAGTAGACATTTACACCTGAAATTCCTTCGAAACAGCTTCGAAATTATCATAGTAAGTGTTTTAACTTTTCAAGTTATTAAAAATTCCTTCAAATTTCCACTAAGGAATTTTCCTATCTAATTTAAAAGGCAAAAAAACGGTATACCGATAATATCGGTATCATTTTTCCGGTATACCATTACCGGAAAATTCTCATACCGAACATTCCTATTTTTGACACCCTCTCGCTCTCCTATACACTTTGCGCTATTTAGCACTTCTAAAACGCTATATTTTTACTTTTATAACTTTGTATCTAATTAGTTTTACGCCTATTCTGAAAATCAACTACAGTAATTCTTTTATATAGTTGTGAGACACCAGCGTGTTTAAGTAAAAAGTATGGGTGTATGTATGTGTACAGAATGTATATATGTTTGATTATTTATTATACAATTTATCTATATAGTCAATCGCCAAGTATGACTGTAGGCTATAATAAATTCAAATCACCCGATAAGACACAATGATATCGAAGGAATTAGACTCCGTTCCGAAATATCACATACTCGAACCGACCTGACCGCGTAGCTCAGTTGGCAGAGCATTGGGCTAGTATTCCAAAGGTCGTAGGTTCGATTCCCACCGTGGCCAGGCATATTTTTCAAGCTCGCCCGGTGTGGATATGCACTCAGAGTAACACCACAAACATCTTATTCACCTGAGTACACAACACCAACAGAGAAAAAAATCAAATTACTAGATTACATTGATATCGAAAAAATTAGACTTCCCACCGTGGCCAGGCATATTTTTCAAGCTTACTCGGTGTGGATATACACTCAGAATAAAAATTCCTGACAAGAACTTTGTTTCTGAGGCTAAATCTGTACGATCAAACAGTAACTCTGAAGGTATTGAACGTGAATTTGTAGCAAATATCTTAAGAGAATATGCAATTCTACC